GAGGACGACGGGGGTGGTGGCGGAGGTGGCGGTGGCGGGGGTGGGAACGACGCTTGTGCCGCGCACGACGACAAAGGGCCGGGAAGGTAACCAGCGTAGCCGGCCGTGCTCCCGTATCCCCATGAATTGCTCGCAGTAAGACCGAACTGGGACATGTCTGAATGAACAGATCGTGTCAGAGATGAAAAATTCTTCTGTATTTCCCCCCCCTCTCTTTTCTCTCGAGATTCGATATCATTTTATCGTATCGTATTCGAGATCCAAGTACTTTTTTGGGGGGGAGGATTTCTGCGGATTTTAAGAATTTTACAAGAAAGACAAAAGGAAGAGGGGAGAGAGAAGAGGGATCGAGCAGAAGCAGCAGAGAACATATACAATACAATCGAATAAGCGAAAGGCGGAAAGCGAAGCGAGAACTCGAATAATCGCATCGCGCTTGAATCCGCGCTTGCGTAGCGAGCGTGCTGGCGAGGGAAAAGGCAAAGAATGATCGGATCGGTTGTTGTGCAAGCGCGAGCATCGAGGAGGCGAGGGAGGGAAGGAAAATATGGAGATGGAACGATGAGTGAGAGCGAGAGATCGAGAAGATCGGTTTGCCGGCGAATACAGGCGGGGATCGCTTTTCTTTTGCGCCCTCTTTGGATTTATTTTTGCGGCGTACAGGCGTACAGCTGTCCCCCCGATAGATTTTCCAATGAGTTCCGTGAGGGGGTTGAAGGGAGTGGAAAGCGAGGGGAAGAGAGAGAGAGAGAGAGGGGTGCAGGCGGACAGGAAACGAGGGGAGGGAGGGCGTTCGAGATCAAAGGGTCGGTTGGTCATCCCTCGCGTACCTCCGGCCAACTCAAATAACCGAGAGAGCTCGAGCATCGCCACTGGGCCGTCATTGACGAGAGAGGCTAACCCTAAATAGCGTGGAGCAGCCAGCATCTGCTTTCACGTCGTTCGTTCGTTCGTTCGTTCAATTTTCAAGCAGGGACAGGGGAGGTTGGAAACTTGGCCGGCCGATATCGCGACGTAAGGAGAACCTTTGATTAACGCCACCACGGATTAATTTCCAGGCCTCGATTTACAGGCAATTTCGTTCGATACCGTCTGCATTCTCGGGGAGGGATCGAATCGAGGGGGCGGCAATATTTCGATCGACGCCTCCCCTTTTCGTTTAAATCGCGCGTTTCTTCTTTAAATTTCGTTAAAAAGGATTAAAAAGCTACGTATTGCGCGTGTTACAGGATAGCGTTAATCGGGGACAGTTGGACGTCGCGAAATTAAAAGATGTTGAAGGGGCAAGCGCGGCGGTGGATCGAGAAAACGCCGAAGCGAATTATCGATGTCCGATGTCGGGAAAAAAATTAATAAAGGAAATACCCGGCATGCTTGGATACTTTATCGAGGAATTTATCGCTTTTGGATCCGAAGGCGACTCATTAAAACGACTCTCGCCCCTACCTTCGCCCGATAATATTTCTCCCACGCGGATTTCTTCCGCGAGAAGATAATAAATTCGCGGATAAACCGCGAAAATCTATCCCTTCGCTCCTAACCTCTTCGCTCGCTCGCTTTGGAAACAAGAAAAAAAGAAAAAAAAGAGAAAGGAAGAAAAAAAAGAAATCGCGTCACGGCGAAAACTATCTATCTCTGAACAATTTGTGAGAATCCTAACACGGGAACCGATACAGAGAAGAAACGGACGGTGAAACGGTGGTAGCGCGATGAAATTTTCGCGTAGAAATTCTCGAATTCTCCTGTTGGAAACGTGAAGAGAACGCGAGAAGGGAGGAGGGAGGGGGAGGAGGGGGAGAGAGAGTTACCAGGCCAAAACGACGAGCCATCCCCGACCAGGCAGCCGCCGCTCCCGCGGCAACCCCTTTAATATAATATTTAATCTAGCTTTGAACAGGCTTGCGGTTTCCGCCTCTAGAGTCGAGAAGCTAGCTCTTGCGAGCCTAAAACCTCTCTCTCTCTCTCTCTCTCTCTCTCTCTGCTTACATTCGAGACGAGACCAGGCGGAGGGGAGCGGCGTCTGTTTGGAAATATTCCCAGCTTCAATCCTCGCTTCTTACACGATATCTTCGATGAGATTTTATTTGCGGAAATTTCGGGTTGGTTCGAGAAGTTGATTCTCGGGCGTGGAATATTGGTTGTAGAGAGAGCGAAATCGACACGAAAAAAAAAAAAAAAAGAAAAAGAAAGAGAAGAAAGATGGAAGCGTCGATCAAGCGTGGATGGAAGGAAGCAAAGTTGTACTTACTTTGACAGTTGGCCGGCATCGCGTGCCTGAAGGAGGAGAGCGGATCCCGCGGCTGGAGCGGGTTCGGTAGCGGCTGAAGGGGATTCGGCAACGGTTGCAAAGGATCCACCAGCGGCGAGGCGAAAAACGGGCCGCCCCTCTGCGAGGCGAACGCGAACGCGTGGAACTGCTGCTGCTGCCCTAAAAGAGACAACACTGCGATCAACCGTGCGCCTGTCCACTGGACCTACGACAACCGCGTCAATCCTTCTTATCTCCTTATTTTCAATCGATTCTCGATTTTTTCCAAGGAAAAAAGAGTATCCAAATTTCTCGATGGGCGG